TTCTTTCAAACAAGCACTACTACTTGCATGTCAAGTACTACAACTTCGACTATGCTGTAACAGCAATGCTTTTATAAAGTTTTAGTTATTACGTCGAACTCTTTCATCCGTTTTACAAATAAAGCAGCTACTTTGGAATGATTTATAACATCAGTTATAAACTTTAGATTAAAAATAAAATATTTGAAATTGTAAATAGATAAAAAAAAGGATTGCTATTTTTCCTAATTTCAAATTTTACATTGGCATATTTCTTTTTTAATGTAAAAAAAAAAATCCAACTGTTAAAGAATCTCAAGCAAAATTAAATATCTAAGTAAAATTACGTAATGATGTTACATTTATAAAATATCTTTAACAAAATAAATATTTCTTTCAGCGATAAATCAAAATAAAAGTCTCTAATGTTCTTTTCATTTCGGTATTTAATGAAATCTGGATGATTAATTAAGTATTAAAACCCTCTAGCAACAAATCACTTAAAGAAGAAAAATAGTCTATATGACAAACTACACTTATGTCCATAAATTAAGGATAATTCGGAGTCACTCGGAAATCGAACTCTAAAATAAATATATCACCTGTAAAATCACTACACACATCTTCAAGAATCATATGTAAATTTCAGGAAGTAACCAAATGACACCGATGGTACGTCACAATGACGAGAGTATAAGAGAGTGATATATAAGGAATAGAGGCAAAGAAGTAAAATTGTTCGCAGGCGCTTTATAAGCATTTCAGTGCAATAACCGAATAGTTATGACACAAAGGACGCATTTGGAAGATTTTTTACGTGGTAGAATAATCGGCCGTCTGGAATGTGGGCGTACCCAACTGGAAGTATCTGACGAACTTGGAATTGCCCAGAGTGTCATCTCCAGGCTTTGGCAACGATTCCAAGATGATGGTAATGTGAGTAGACGTTACAGCACAGGTCGCCCCAGAGTTACAACGCCGAATGAGGATCGGTATTTGGCAGTTACTGCCAAAAGAAACAGGCGGAGCACAGCCTCAGACCTGTCTCGTCAGCTCTCTTCAGCCACTGGTACGACAATTTCAAGGCAGACCGTGTACAGACGCTTAGGGCAGATTGGTCTATATGCTCGTAGACCTGACAGATGCGTTCCACTTGCTGCAACTCACAGTCGCCTGCGGTTAGCCTGGAGTAGAAAGCATGCATTGAGGACACCGCGACAGTGAGCTTGTGTGGTGTTTTACGACGAGTCCAGGTTTAGCTTACAGTCTGATTCTCGCCGGACTTTCATATGGAGAGGTCCAGGTACCCGTTACCACCAAGAAAACATCATTGAACGACACCGTTACGGTGGTGCAGGAGTGCTCGTTTGGGGTGGAATTATTCTGGGTTCCAGAACTGACCTGCATGTTCAAATTGGAACCATGACAAGCCAAATCTATCGGGACGTCATTCTGGAACAACATATACGTTTGTTTCGGGGCGCCATGGGCGCACAATTTGTGTTTATGGATGACAACGCCCGTCCTCACCGTGCAAACATCGTAAGCGAATGCCTTCAATCGAAGGATATCACCCGTATGGACTGGCCAGCATTCTCACCGGACTTGAATCCAGTAGAGCACGTGTGGGACATGCTTGGCCGACGAGTTGCAGCCCGTCAACTTCCTCCTACATGTCTACCGGAACTTCGGAGAGCATTTCTTTTTGAGTGGTGTAGTATCTCCCAAGATCAGATCGATAATTTGATACTCAGCATGCCTAGGCGTCGTACGGACTGTATTGCATCGTCTGGGAGACATACAATGTATTAACAATTATACCAACCATGTAGTATTTTTTTTTTTTTTTTTTTTTTTTTTTTTTTTTTTTTTTTTTTTCTAATTTGCTCCAGGGAGAAAAAATCGCTATTTTATTTTAGTAATATCAAACATATAGCATCTTTTTTTTTTTTGCTCTTTACCTTTTGTTTAATAAATAAGCTTTACAAATAAGACAAATTTGTTTTGCTTGTAACTCTTCCTTTGCTTGATTTTGCATTATCCTTAATTTATGGACATGAGTGTATTTACAAGCAAGCACCACAGCATTCTTCCCAGAGCAGTTTGTAACCGCACAATGCAGAAACTTTCACCAGAGAGCAATTGTAAAGAGGAACTTAGACGTTTTACTGTCTCCTCCAGAACTTTACAAGCCTCTAAGCGTGGACGTTCTCACCACTGTATAGGGGTTTGCACGAGTGTATTTAGGAGTGCAGCTCGACAGACATTACAGTGCGTTGAAATTGCTCATAGACAATGTGTACAGACATGACACCCAATCTGTCTATGACCAACTCGCCGATGATCTACCATTGAGCAGGAGCCCATTGATGGGGTGTACTTGAATGTACACTGGGGGGAGCTGACCCCGCAGACCAATGTTTGAGCGCACGCACTTGCCCGCATCAACGTGTCTGCAACTTCAACAACAAGTCGAATGGATATCGGGGCGCCATGAGGCGTGAACAATGGTCTACATTCGTGACCTGACAGCCCGGTCGACGTAACCACAAATGGGCATCTCCGTGGCACTTCGGTTAGAGGCTTTTCACAGTCATTCCTTCAAATTGAGGAGTCGTTACAATTTTTTTTTTGTTTTCAGCATGGGACAGATTCGAATTGATACTTTTTGAGTTTCAAAAAGTCTCGGCGTCAAACGGTATACATTCAATTTGGAATTGTCGGAGATTTTTTGTACCCTTTTCCTTTTTTTGAAGAAAAACCCATTTTACAATCGTAATTTGTTTTTTGCAAATACGCTCTACTTTTTTTTTTTTTTCATTCATTTTTCCAGGTATTGTTCGTGTATTAGGACAAGGTATTAGCATTTTACAGAGTATAGTTTCCCTTTTTTTTTTTTGAGTTCGTTTGTTTAATTTGCAAGCGAAACGCTAAGCATTGAGTGACTTGTGCAAACATATCATGAATTTTGATTCCACCCTTTCCAAAAGAACTTTTACAAGAGCAAGCATGCATCGTCTTTGGTGATTCACATTTATTGCAATTTTTCAACAAAGCTTTTTTTTTTTTCCATTTTCCAGGATCTAGTTATTTTAGATATCTCAGCAGCAATTTATTTTGGAAGTTGACTGTTTTTGCCTTATTTAACTGCTATGTAACCCCATTCTTTAACCGCCAATGCAGAAACTTTCACCCGAGAGATTAAATTAAATAAAATAGAATTAACACTTTTCTGATAACGCGGTTTCGTTGTAAAAGTTTGAAGGTGGCTGTTTTTATTGGCAGCTGGTACGAAATCCATTTATCAGACTCGAGCGGCTATTGGTTGCTCTTTGTGCATCAACGTGTCTGCTGGGATTAAACGAAAAACGTGGATTAATATGATAAAAATAATTAGTAAATGCCAGGCGCAACAAAAGCTCCGTAACGTTTGTTCTAGGGAGGGTAAAAAACGTAAAAAACAAAAAAGGGAAAGAAATTTATCTTTTTTTTTTTTTTTTTTTTTTTTTTGCTGTTACACCTTTTACTTTCTATCAATACTTGAAAAAAAAGGAGCAATTTTTTAACATAAAAAAGGGCTGTTAAAAATAATATACGTCTTTTGAGAAAACATTTTTCTTTTCTTTGTCATATTATAAAAGACTTTTGATATGATTTATGATTAACTCTCAGATGAAAAATTAATTAGAAGTACAGTAGAAGAAACAATTATTTTAAAATAAAATATGTATGCAAAAAATACAAAATTCACTCCCCAAAATAGTATTTATCATTAAAATGTCATAACTATATTTATAGTATTATATGTAACAAGTATTATTTCAGCATTCCAAAATATAGGATAATTTTAAATTACTGAGCGAATTTCAGTGATAAATAGTACGTAAGCTAAAGAACATATCCATTTGCATTATATATCAAATTGCACACCTACTCTTTGAGTAGGTGTGTAATTTGATATATAATGTATTTGTAGAACATTGTATTTATTTTTTAAAAGCTTTTACTTAATTCACTCCTGTGGTTGGAATTTTGTCATCGATTTTTCCTGTTAAGCTATTGAGTTCAAATTTTGCCCATCAAGGTCGATGAAAACGCAATGTGGCGATGATGTTTCTTCAAAAATTCGATTCATTTTTTTTTTTTTTTTTTAATTTCACATTTATAGGATTTTTCGCACCTATTTCATAAAGAAACTAAACATACCAGAATCTTACCTTTTGCACCGTCAAATAGAGGGTTTTTTTTTTTTTTTTTGTATGAAAACGTTTGTATGAAAATTGCAATTTAATTTTGGAATTTTTGAAAATAGATCATTTGTTAGAATATTTGACGTTTATGATTTTAAAATGCCAACATCTAAAAATGTGTCAGATGTTGAGTTTTGAAATTTTCGCAGATTATAAAACAAACGCTTCGCTCTCTTATAAAACAGGAATGAAAAAAATATTAAATGGGTGATTTTAGGCACTTTTTTTTAAAATGTTTTGGAGTCTGAAGCAGACGAGAGAAGAAAGCGGAAAAATTGCTTTTCAGATTACCATCTTTGGGCAATTAATGACGAACTGGCGATATATGCTTTTTCAATTTAGCTTCAGTACTCACTGTAATTATTACATCCAATTTCTTAAAGTGAATATTCAAAATAATTTCTCTATTTTGTGAATTATGTTCAGTTGTTTTCCTTTATTACATAATTTTCTTACGCATTATTGCTTGTGTTTTAGCAATGACTAAAATTTTCGTCATTGATAACGTGTAACTGAGACTAAAAAATATAAGGTAAAATACAATTAAAAAAGGTTTTGTATAATAAGTTTTTGCTTAAAATGCTAATTAATGCACATGTTGATTAATGAAATAATTTGTCATATAATTTAATGGAAATAATAGATTAAATCATTCTCTTTACAGAATTCATGTGCAATTTTGCGTCACAAATAATAAAAGTTTGGGGCATAGCCATTTTAAATACATGCCATGATTACAATAGTTATTTTAAATGAAAGCTTACTGTCAAATCTTTTTTATTTATATTTTATTTGATAATCAACGCATCTTTATGATAAAGAATATTAATCAAACATACTGTGGTTTGGCAACATGTTCTTGTGATTTTTACCTTGATCTATAACCGATGACACTTATCCTAACTTAAAACAACTTTACCTCAAAGCCAAATTTTATTTATAAAATAAAAGTACTTAACAATTTTTACAAAATTTAAATTTTTATTTCAGCTTAAAGTTATTTTAATAAATCTGATCATATAAATATCGAAATTTATAATTTATAATTTGTTATTTTAATAAATCCATCGAAAAGTCCTAAAAACATTCCGCACAGTTTTACATTCCACACATGGAAATTTAAGGTACAAAATCATATACAGCATATCAGTCTAAAGCCTAATCGAACGATTTCCATAATCATTCAATGTATCCAAAGCTCTACAGCTCAAAATAATCCATCATTAAAATCCATCACCTGTGGGTGTTACAGAAATATTCATTTGGAATATTTCAACTGCGTTTATTATTATTCATAATTTGTCTTAATCTATTCGTAATCAGCTCAGTTACTAACCTGAACACTTATTAACTTCCTTCTGAATGAGAATCACCTCAAGCAAGGGCTCAAATTTGCCACCTGAATACTAATCAGCAGCTAATCTCAATCAAACATAATTAATGATTCATTGCTAATCAGAGTCTATTAAACGATATTAATAAACACTCGAAAAATCTAGACTAATAGGCTTTCGATTATCATAATTCGCTATGCTCACTATTAATATGTGCTTGTTATAGTTTGCTTTGTTTTTTTTTTTTTTTTTTTCCATCCAATTTCATTCTGGAACATTCTTAAACCTCAGTCGTAGTGGTTTGTCCGGTACATTGATTAATCTAGTGATGGAATCAATTTCTTCATGATGATAAGAGATAATATAATTCCTCACCAGCTGTAATAAAAATAAAAGGGGTATTAGTCAAAGAACATTAATTCATTTTGTACAAGTTTAAAAATAAACAAATTTAAATTTACGTAAAATGTTACAACTTTCAAGTCTGTCTCTTAGTTTTGTTTCGAAATTTCGAATTTTTAATCACCTTTTGAGTACAGGTTGTAGAGTCTCAATTGTTTTGGTAACATACATTAAGCCAAGACTCCTACTAAGACTATTAACGACTTACCGCTAAGTCTTGCAAATATAACAGAGACGTGCTAAAGGTGTAACAATTCCTTTTAGTAGAAGTCAATAAGTTGAACAAAAAGCACTATCTGTGCTTACATATCAGCCAGCATTTATGGCGTGAACGCGGAAGTAGAATTTTAAGTTTAAACTAAATCCACGGCTTTGTTAGCCAAATGCTGGGCAGAGATATTTAAGCAGACAGGAAGACAAGAATGTACATAGTAGACGGGAATGTATATCGTAGAATAACGTGACAAATGAAATGGCCTTCAGTAGGGAGAACACACTCTTAACTAAAACAATCTCTAACCCCTCAATTACATGCGAGCTAATTTGCATTCTGGCAGGAAAACGGAATGACAGAAGTGACAGTGAAAGTACGTAACATAAAATAAATGGATAATAGACACAAGTACCTTACAAGGTTATTAGAACTATTACAACAAGGTTTCGCTCTTCCAGGATGCGAATGTTGGGAAAACCCTCGTATAGCACGACAACACGGTTTCATTTTGGAATGTTTATGAATATGCGTAAAACTATAAAGTATTTCTCCCGCCTTCCTAGCATGCCTTCGTGGTGTAGTGGTTTGTATGCTGGGCGCGTATTCCAGAGGTCCATGGCGAAGGCGTTGCTCATTTTTCATGATTCCAGCTTCCAAAAAATACCTAATGTCTCTACAGTGGCGCCCGAACTAAAACGGTGGTGGATGATGATTCTCCACACCCAGGATTTGGCGATTGGGTCTCCTAAAAATCCCAGTCGCCCTTTAAAAGGGGGAATATGTAAGGTATTTCTCCCGCCTTCCTAGCATGCCTTCGGGGTGCAGTGGGCTCGTATTCCAGAGATTCGTGGTTCGATTCCCGGCGAAGTCGTTGCTCATTTTTCAGACTCCTTCTTTCAAAAAATACCTAATGTCTCTATAAAACCCCTTATAACACTTTATGTATACATATATTTCATAAAATTTAACAGTTGGTCATAAGCTGGTGACATGAGGTTACCGCTAAAAGTTCAGACACAATCAGCTGAAAGTTCTTATCAGAGCATATAGCTGTTACACGAGCAAGTGGAACAATTTTCGGGAGCATTCACAATGCATTAATACAAGAAGCAATAAAAAATGGTTCAAAATTGTATGCTGCTGGCAACAGACTTAAACAGACTGTTAAATTCCATTTCCAAGTAGATTTTTCGTAGCAGGAAATACGAAAAAACAGTCGCCGGGATATGAATTCTGGACCTTCCAATTTCTAGCCGAACTCCTTTCAATTAAACCACAAAGAAACACAAAGGAAAAGGAAAACATTCTTTATAGAATGACTTACTCCATTTTTAGAAACCAATTCTTCTGAAGCATTAAAAAGAGATTCAAATAACTTTAAAACCATTGTAAAAGTCAATTAGCTGCGACAATAGTTTTGCAATGTAGGGTATGCCAAGTACAATACGAATTCTAGTTATCAAAATAACCGGCCAGGGCTTAAAACTCGGAATTACATGGAAACTTTAACGAATTTATGATTAACAAACTCAAGGATTAAGACACAATAACTCAAGGTTCACACAAACTCAAGGATTTCAAAGCGAGCAATGGCAACTTTGCACAGAAAAAACATTTCTATATCCAGCGCGTGAGACTGTGTATCGGAAATTCTAAAGATATGCTCAATTTAAAATTATTTTGCTATATTGCTCTTGGCATATTCAAAATTAGACTTTTCTTTCTTCTTCGTCGTTTAAGGAAAACGACAATACTTTTAGAGTATAGATATGAAAACCTTTCATTTGAGAGCTTGAATATCAATTACTTAAATCGAGCTCTGTGTATACTAAGTAAACTCCTCTCTCATATATGAGTCATATATATTTCAATATATCTCCGAAAATATCTTTAGATTGAATTGGATTATTCAATTACGGCAAAGCACACGAGGGCTATCTGCCTAAAGGGAAGGATGCATTCGTGGAAGACTTTCTAAGGGAAACTGGCTCGTATACACGTTACACATGGGAAAACCCCGAAAACGCCCATGCAGCCAGCCCGTTCGCGGGATTCGAACCGCGGACCGAACTACAGTGTTCAGCGTCTTTACCGCTCGGCCGCTCATCTTTAGATTGAGTAAGCTGCTTCAGAACGGGACACATTTTTTATGCTTCCGAGAATTTTAAATACCTTGGATTTTAAAATGTAAGACGATAACTTTGTTGGTACATGAAAAAGATTATTTACCTTGGCTGTGGCTAGATAAAGCTCCATCCTAGCAAATCTCATTCCAATGCACGATCTAGGGCCGTAACCAAAAGGGCTCGAAACAAGAGGAACACGTGTTTTCTCCCATCGCTCTGGACAGAAAAGATGTGCATCTTTGAAATATTTATCTTGCATACATGCTACCTGATGCTGTAGAAATATCATTACCTGGAAAATAAAAGGACGGATATATTTTAAAAACAATAATTCTTAATGATTCAACGAATAAATATTTGTTGACATCTTTATAAAGAAATAATCAGTAGTCTGCTTCTTTACTTTCTCTAATTTAGAAATATATGATTTCTAAATCTACATTTCTTAAATTACTTTTTTCTTTAATTTATAAATACGTGAAGCTTTCAACAGATATAATATGTTTTACTGAAACGAAGACAGTCTTCTTTCCTATAACAAACAAAACCAAAAAACAATTTAAAAACCTTAAACAATCTGAAAGGTTTCCAGTTTGCGTTTTTTTAGCGTTTTGTGTGTTACCTTTATTTATTAAATATCATGTTCTATGTACATAAACCACAAAATTCAACTCAAGAGCAATATAAAAAAATAATTTTAAATTGAGCATATCTTTAGAATTTCCGATACACAGTCTCACGCGCTGGAGATAAAAATGTTTTTCTGTGCAACATTGCCATGGCTCGCTTTGAAATCCTTGAATTTGTTAATCAAAAATTCGTTAAAGTTTTAAAAAATAGGAAATCGATCATAAAAATAAATTTCAAATTTCAAATTTGGGCTTCCACATGCTCATATTCGTTGGAGGATTACGTTATTCAAAATTCGATGACTCTATGTACCGTTGTTTTTATCAGAATGCGAGAAATATACATACATTTATGCAGAATTTTCATTATTTAATTTTCTTCAAATATAATGCAGGACTCTAATAATTTTATGGCAACAGTTTGAAAAGTGAACCGACATTTATAGTGATTCAATGCAAAGTCGCAAAACGAAACTAATAGTCCTTCGGGATTCAAAGCCCCTTTGGACTAAAAAAAAAAAAAATCTGAAATGTTTCAGATTTTAAATTACGTCCAAAGGGCGTTTTTTTTTTTTTTTTTTTTTTTTAAACATTTTGTGTGTTACCTTTCTTTATTAAATATCATGTTCCTCGCACTTAAAATTCAGTGCACAGCAATATCGCAAAATAATTTTAAAACGAGCATATCTTTAGAATTTCCGATACAGAGATTCCGCGCCCGCTGGAGAGTAAAAATGTTTTTTTTTTTTTCCCCACGCAGAGTGTTGCCATTGCTCGCTTTTGAAATCCTTGAGTTTGTTAATCAAAAATTCGTCAAAGTTTTTAAAAAATAGGAAATCGATAATAAACAAATTCCAAATTTCAAATTTAGTCTTCCACATGCCCATATTCGTAGGAGGATTACGCCATTCAAAATTAGATGGCTCTATGTACCGTTGTTTTATCACAATGCGAGAAACATACATACATTTTTGCAGATTCTTCAGTACTTAATTTCTTTAAATATAAGACAGGGCGATAATATATGGTGGCAACGATTTGAAAAGTGGTACAGCCTTTTAAAGTTTTCAACGCAAAATGCCAAAACGAAATTAATAGTCCTTCAGGGCAAACTGCCCCTTTGGACTAATTATCTTGAGCAGATATTTATATCGGACATCAATCCTAAACACATTTCAAATTTTTATATTTATAAATATTAATATTACTTACGTTATATTGCTGCCATTTTGTAATGTAACCATGTAAGACTTGCATGTTAGACTATACAGAACTTCGTTTGTACTAATCATCCGGAGAAGTTAAGTTTCGGATAATATTTTTTTTATTTATCATTAAGCGCTCAATTGCGGTTAAATTTTGAAATTCATACTATTACAAAACGAATACTGTAAAAAACAATTTTACAACATAACGCAAATATCTTATTAAAATGTTTTTGCGAAATTAGCTATATCTTAATATCTACTCATTTTAAGTAATAATTAATAATAGCGAAATAATTCCCTAAGACTATTATTTCTGAAGCATTCCGTGCGTGCGGGTTCGTAGTAGATTGAATGCACAAGTCCGATAAAAGGTTAATTAAAAAAAACTATTTTTATGAAAAGAAATACTTAAGAACTTCGGAATTTCCGACAGAAATATTCGTACAAGTGTTCACAGTATCACACAGTACAATCAGTAGTTACACTTCAAACTACTAAGAACGTTAAACACAAGGCAATGCAAAGCGCATATAAGAAGAAAGCTAATCCGATCTCATGCTGAACTCGCAACAATAGCAACAGGAGCTGACTAAGCAACTAAGAGCAAATGCTCTCTTTTCGTCCTTAAATAGTTTTCAACCGGTCGCGAGATATTTCTAGTACTTTCTGCTTCTCGAGATTACTGGAAAACAATAAGAGGATTAAATTACGGTTGCAGCTAACATAGTGTCAATTACATTTATTCAATTTCAATATATATTAGGTAATACACGGACCGGACCCAAATGTCGCCAAATGGTCAAATTTGGCGACAAAATAAGTTGCCAAAACCGTTAACAGCTTGGCGATATCTCGCCAAATTACTAAGATTCACATTTACTCAATGTTAAGAGTACTTACCCCTCTATTCTTACTTTTCTGGCATAGCTTTCTCTTAGACTTTATCTCGCGGTACATCATTACACAGAAAAATACAGTAATTTACTTATAATTCTACTAAAATTAGCTAGCAAATAAACTAAACTAAATAATCAACTAAAAGTACAAAATTCGTAACATTACTATTATTATTTTTGCGAAATTAATTATATCTAAATAACTACTCATTTTTAAGCAAAAATTGCTAATAGCGAAATAATTTTCTAAATTTATTATTTCGCTCATAATACATTATTGCAGAAATTGCTGTTTCTCCTCTCTCCCCGATGAGATATTTTATTACTTTTAAAGTAATAAAAGATTTCTCGGCTCACATGACCCCAATATCTCAGAATCCGAATTCCCATAAGCAACCCAACATTTTTCTCATACTTTCTCCCAGATTTAAAGTCAGCCATCCAGCAACTCGAATTCTAGACCGCAGCCAGTAGACTGTAATTACCAATCTAGCTACTGGACCAAAAGCAAAGAGCAAATACCACGTTGTGGGCTGTTTTTTTATATGCTTATTATTCCAGTATTGGAAAAAAATTGTTTCTGCTTTTTCCATTTCAGATGATTTAACGTAAAGAGATTTCTTTCATTACTTCTGCCTACAGTTGGCTTCAATATAAGATGACTACTGTGACAAAGTTTGGCCATTTGTAGCTATCATATATTTCGTGTATTTACTCGATTTACTTATTTATGAAAATAAAACTCAAGATGATCGTTATTGCCTAACGCTAGCTGGCAAGTTCTGGTGCCTCCCAGTCCCCTTTGGTTCAACAACAAAGTTGGACGACCCGCTCAGAAAATGATTCAAAGAACCGGTTCACTTTAATGAGCGAATTTACCCTGACTCCAAAGAACTGAGTTATAGCTTTTTTACAGTTCATGGGTAGCTCTTGTTGGATCCGTGCCAGGGAGAGGGATAGGCTATTCGTTCACGAACTGATTCACTTTAATTGGGAAAAAAGAGCGGAGGATGAGCTGGAAGAGTGCCAACTTCCCATTTTAGGGAGAAAAAGAAGTTTATCCCCCCCATGTGAGTGAGTTTAATTTTTAAAAGTGGATTTAAGTTTTCTCATTTCCTAATTTTTTTAAAAATTTTATTCTCTAGAATTTTATTGTTAGTTCTGTGTAGAAAGGAGGTTTTATGGAATCTCAAAACTACAGTTAAAAGAAATCATTTCAGGATATTCTGCGTTTGATGTTAGCATTTCAGGATGTTAGCATTTGATATTAACGTTCAGGATGTTTAATGTTAGTGTTGAATTCATTCTTCCGATTCCTCGGCTTGCGGGATTCTTTTCGCTATTCTCTCATTCGCTAAACGTGCCAGTTCAACTGCTCGTTCGATTTTTCCGCTTTTCGCTCCATCCTCACTAACTGCTCTTGATTCACTCCTCGTTTCTAATCTTTTTCATTAAGTCTATTGTTAGAAAACGGTGAGTCATAAAAAAGAACCGGCTCATTTCAGTAAAAAAACAGGTCCGATCCAATCTCATAAAGGAGCGGTTTTGCCTATATTTATTAACAACCATTTACTTGAACTTAAGATCATACTACAAGAAGATGATTGATCTGGAATCCATCCATCTGGAAACTCTTTGCTTGCAAAAGAGTCTTTTGGAACTTTATCATTGGATCGTTGTTTGTCTGTTTGTTATTAATAAATCATTAAAAACACATACAATCTACTTTTCAGCATTTAGTAGACAGCAGAATTTAGTTTTTACTCCGTCTACCACATACAATTTCAAAGTACAGCAGGTAAACAGGTAAAAGTACATGGGATACCAGAAACTTCACTACAGAATCGAACAAGTATTGCTCCAATACACTAACAAGGTAGAGTATGAAGAACTTGAATTGACTATTTCTAAGCAATACTGGAGTTATACATCGGAAGTGTTACATTTAAACATAAGAGGATAATATAAAATTAGGCAAAGTTACATAAATAATACAAACCGTTTAGTATATTGATTAAAATATTGTATTACGTAAATACAAGAGTTGATATTTTGGAGATCGTAGCACTGAAAATTTTGCATTTAATTTGCGACTTGGCATAGGTCCAGTCCTAGAACATTGAGTGTTTGGTGCAATTACCTGATTTTTGGATATAGGTGGCGTTGAGATATCTCCAGTCTTTTACAGTACAGCAGGCTCAAAGTATAGGAGACTTCGCTTAGTGTCATCAGATTTGTCCAAGACTATTTTGATAACATTAAACGATGATAAAAAAAATTGTTAATCAATATCAGTGGGGTATCATTGTGATCATCAGATATCGACGGAGTTAAACTAATATAACTAAAAGCGTATAAATCCGTTTACAGCATTTTAAAGGGGGGATTTCACAATGGATAGTATGCAGCTGTACGCAAATGTTCATTTATGAACTGTTCATAATGATATTAAATATGAATAGACCGATTCTTTCTTTCTTTCTTTCTTTCTTTCCACCGACAGCGAGGCAGCCGATCCACTGGGGAAGTTAGCATATCGGCCAGATAGCCTCGCTGACG